TGACTTTGGAAATGAATGGTGTAGAGAGTGGTCTTTCATTTATTTATTTTCTTTAGTTTTCCTCTTCTGATTTCTCACAGGGACAGGATATTCAGGACAGCTATTTTTCCTCAGTTTGTTTTCTTCTATGTGTTATCTAAGCAGTCCAGTCCTGTATGTGAGGAATCACCTCACCTGCTGGGCTGTTGACTGTGTTATATGCAGTGCCTGAAGATTGGGTCACCTAAAATAGTAATTTCCAAATATTTCTGCCAAGGACGCCTGGACTAAATGTCAGAGGTTTCTGTTACTATTTAAATAAATCCACACATCCTCTATCACAGTATTTCTCCATCCAGGTTAGGTTTTCTACCTTACTTCACTATTACAACCAGGTTCTACCATTTCCATGTAGCTCTCAAACACGCACTCACTAGGTGCTTCTTCCTTTCAGAATGCAGAGGGTTGGGGTCACACCACAATAATATGGAGCCAGGCATTTCTTTTTCTTTTCTTGACATTTTCTTGGTGTGTAGCTCAGAATAGCCTCAAGCTCCCCATCTCCTGTCTCAGTCTCCTAAGTGCTGAGATTACAAATGTGTACCACCATACCTGGCTCTTAAACTCTTACTATTTCATCTTCTGTAAGTTGGAGATTAACTTGTACCTACTCTGAGCACTACTGAACCTGAATGGAACAGATAAATACATTTATTTACAAACTCTTCCAGAACATAGAAAAAAGAACCACCCAATTATACAAGGCTAGCACCACTTCGTTTTACAAACCTACTATGATGGCAAGAGAAAACTGCACTTCAATCTTACTCATGAAGATAGGTGAATAATCCCACATAAAATATTATCAAATCAAAAGCAATGATTAAAACAAGCACACCAGTCCCAGGATTACAGGATAGTTTTGAAACATTACAGATAGATTCTAGGTACTTGCAGTTGATCTTATTCCCATCTGAAACCCTACCGAAATGAGAATAAAGAAAAACAATACATACCCGCAAGGACAAGAAGGACAGGAAGAATACATTTGTGGACAAGAGATGTCAGCTGTGTTTAGAAGTTGAAACGGATTAAGGAGGTGAGTGATACAGCAGAATAGAGAAAATGACAATCGAAATGCCTGTGGAGAAGTCAATGGCAAGCGTGGGGGCGGGGCAGGGGTTGCCACACAATTCTTGAAAAGCTCAGGAGTAGAGACACCAAGTTCTTCAAATCTGGGGAGGCCGAATGAGGCTGAATGGAACGAAAGCAGTGAAGTTGGTTGAAATCCTGAGGATGGAGAAGTTGGACCTCTAAGTTGCCTGCACCATCCTGGCAGTAGACAAAAGGTTTATTTTGATGGAGTCATTAAACCTGGGGAGCTCCAGACTGGAGTGTACTTGGGAAGGACTGAAGAGTGGCCATTTCCTGACTGGGGGAGGGGTGAAGAAGGAAAGAAAAAGAAATTAACCCTATTTACAGAGTGTTTTAATCAGCTTTCCATTACTATAACAATTACCTGGGATATTAGAGAGAAAAGGTTTATTTTGGCTCACAGTTTTGGATGTTTCAGTCCATCATTGGCTGGCCCCATTGCTTTTGGGCCTATGACAAGGCAGCATGACAGGAGTGCATGGCAGAGCAAAACCACCCACCTCATGGCCTGGAAGCAAACATAAGAAAGACAGAGGAGCCAGGGCCCCACTTTTCTTTTTGAGAACACACCTTCAATGACCTGAACAGCTCGCATTGAAACCCACCTCCTGAAGGTTCTGCCACTTCCCAGTAATGCCAACATGGAGACCAGGCCTCTAACACATGGGTCTTTAGGGAATACTTAAGATCCAAACTATGGCACTGGGTGTCTGGTTTACTGAGTGCTGACCATGTGCTATACCCTGTTCTAAATATTCCATACATATTAACTCATTTGATTTTCAAAACCACCCCCGAAACAGGAAGAAAAATGTACAAAAGTAGCAAATACTATTTGTTGATTGATTGATTGATTTTAGTTTTTTGACATAAGGTCTCATTATATAGGCCAGGCTGGCCTAAAACTCTTGATCCTCAAACTCATGATCCTCCTGCCTCTGCCTCCCCAGTGCTGGGATTACAGGCATATGCCACCAGGCCTCACTGACAATTTTTAAAAACAACAAAAAACCAGCATTTACCCTACCAGATATTGAAAAGCTATGATAATCACAACTACATGGTATGTTGAAATAGGCTAGATTCATCTATTATTTTTTAATTATAATTAAAATGATGATGGCAGGTGGTGAATTGGGTATGTTAGACTAATTAATCTTAGATAGACATGTTAGGTTGGAAGATTGGCTCTTAGTATAGAATGAAGGATATGCTAAAAATGACATTTCAAACCAGTAGGAAAAAATAATAAACAATTAGATAGATGGTGTTGGGATAATTGACTATATATACACACTTGGAAGATACAGGTTCCAGATGGGTAGGGACAGATCTAATATTAAAAACGTTTAGAAACTTGGGCTAAGCTAAATAAGACTTCCCTGGCAACCCAGCATGACTTGGAGCACATTATTTTGCTTTCTGATGTTCTGTGTTTTGTTTTGATTTTTTTTTTTTTTTTTTTGCCGTGCTGGGAATTGAACCCAGGCCCTCATACATACTAGTCAAGTGTTCTACCACCAGGCCACATTCCCATTCCCCATTACTGTTTAACAAACCAAAAACCAGTAGAATGGAGTTGAACATGCAGTAGGGTGGGGTAGAATTATCATGAAATTTACTGATCTGGCAATGTGTAAAGCTCACTGCCTACCTTAAGCTTTGTGGCTTAGTAGTTGTACCCAATTTTTCATACTGTAGCTCTCTCTGGGATGCACTGAAATTTTATTTTTCTGTTCCTACTACAACAGAATTGAGTGTACTATGCAGACATATTTGCCTTGTTAAGTCCTATCTCTCAGCACTTCTAGAAGTGATAATAAAATATTCCGCTTTGCCATTTTTAATAAGTTCTTTTTTTGGTGGGAGGGGAGGACTGGGGTTTCAACTCAAGACTTTGTGTTTCCAAAGCAGGTACTCTACTGTTTGAGCCACATCTCCAGTCCATTTTGCTGTGGTTATTTTGGATATGGCGTCTTGGGAACTATTTGCTGGGGCTGGCCTCGAGCCTCAATCCTACTGATCTCAACCTTCCAAGTAGCTAGAATTACAGGTGTGAGTCACAGGCACCTGGCCAATTTTGACGTTCTTAATCCTGGTCATGACCGCTTGTGAAATATGTTTGCATTTTGATGTACCAAAAAGCCAAGAATCAGTGAATTCGTGACAGTCTGTGATTTCTCTCCTTTTGAGATAGTTCTCACAAGATTATTGGTTTTCTCTAATTTAGTGAGCCACCGGGTCAGGCAGTATAATCCTCTGTCTTTGCCTTCATGAGTTCTCTCCAGTCCTCTGCAGAAAGAAGAAATGCTTTAGCAAGTGGAAGTAAAGACATTTTAAGGTCTGCTTTTTTTTTTTTCCTTTTTATCAGGAAGGTAGAAAGACAAAAGTTGCTTCATTGGCAAAACTATCACATTAGTGGTTTGGCTCTTTTTTCTCTTCCCAGAGGACCAATTCCCTGACAAAGTAACTGTACATTTTAATAGAGCCTCTCAGTTGCAAGCAACAGAATCCAATTCAAACCAGCCCAAGAAAATTCCTAAGAGAACTGGCTTGAGTGGCTGGACAGTTTAAGGCTAATAGCTTCAGGCATAGCTGTTTGGCCTGCATTGGTGAGATCTGGCCCTGCCCAGCCCTGTGCAATGGACCCCTCCCCCTAAAAAAGAGGGAAGACCACCTTGCCAGGACAAGAATGAACAATGCTAAGCTGGCAAAAACACCAGCTGTCCACACCAGTAACTGAAGCCACTTCTTGGTTCAGCACATTGCACATATGGTCCCTTACCCTGTCGTCTTTTCCCTGAGGTTATCTTTTAGATCAAGGCATTGCAACCTCACCACATTCTTGTTTTTTAGGAAACGCAGTGTCTGGGTCTACCTGGTCAGTTCCTTTAACTTGTGTCTGTTATGAGGCAGAAGACAGTTGCGGGCTGTTTCCTCTCGTTTCTTTGTAATTCTATTGTATATTTCACTAGAAAATAATCCATTCCTGCTTATTGCTTTCATGAAGTTTTCTTTTTTTTTTTCTTTTGTGGTACCAGGGCTTGAATTCAGGGCCTACACCTTGAGCTGCTCCACCAGCCCTTTTTGTGTTAGGTATTTTCGAGATTGAACCGCAATCCTCCTGATCTCTGCCTCCTGAGTAGCTAGGATTATAGGCATGAACTACATGAAGTTTTATTAGAACTATAATGAAATAGTGTACTATATGGAAGTGAATAGCCATAAACTCTAAGAGGATTTGAATTTAAAAGTCTTCTAAGTACAATTTGAGGTCTCATACTCCTGAAACTATGGAAATACCTCAGGCTTGGTCATTCATGTCAGAATATCTGAGTGTGATCCATCTTGATCCATGGCCCACTAGTATTGCCCTTGACCTCAGTTGAGGGGCTTGATGTCCGGTGGCAAGGAGTAGAGGAGACGTCAGTCTCTATTCTCCACTGCAGGTCCATGACTGGGGCTTGTTGGCAGAGCTGGCAAACGCTTAGTCTCTCCTAGGGCTCCCCAGCCCTCCTCGCCTCAGGAAAGTCCAGAAGTGACTGTCTTGTCTAATTCTGTCTGCCTTGGGTGGGTTCAGGCACCTCCCATGACTGCTTCAAAATTAGGTTTGTCTGTCCTCCCTCCATCCTTCCATCCCCCCTCCGTACCCGTCTCTCCCGCCAGTCATTAGAAGGCTTTGTCTCAAGCCCAGTGCAGGAGAGTGGCTCTTGGTAACCATAGGCAACCATGAGTCTGTGCTAGCTATTTTTGTAAGGCGCAAATCTAGCCACTAACCCAGTGGACGGGAAAATGTGCTCTAAGGGTTTTCTTGAGCAGTAAAATATTCTCTCTCACTTTTTTTTTTTTTTTCTCATTTTCTGTAGAATGATCAATCCATGGGTGAGATGCAGATAATTGGAGGCGAGGATCTTTCAACGCTGGCTGGAAAGGTTTGTTAATGTAACTCTGCTCAGTCCGCATTGAGGTCTGGGGACATCGGTGACCTTCATTTAAGGTCAGACACTCCATGCATTTCAGACACTCACCCGGGTTTGCTAATTCATGCAAATAGATGTGTGAATCTCTTTAATGATTTGTGCTTTCCAAAACGCTCCTCTTAGACTGCTTCTAGGACAGGAGGCAGACAAAATCCTTCTTCTCCTGGCCTCCAATTCCAGTCTTATTTCAGACAACAAAACCCCTGGCCCTCCTTGCTCTGTTCCTTTTTTTACTCACCCTTTCAGGCACCTTCTGAAAAAGCAAGCTTTCTCCTTTATTTGTTTGCTTTTTCTCTCTCCCCCATAGCTTTGTGCCTAAGTGCTATAGCAAGATATTTAAACAGGTTTGTTTAGATGTACAAAATTGGGGGGAGGAAGAAAAAGAACTTGTGAAGAGCACATTTTTTAGTGTTCCCCCCCCCTATTAAAAAGAACGTAACCTATTAAATTATGGAAGAAACACCTCTAATTTTAACTCGGAGTTCCAAACTACCAATAACTAATTAGAAATGAAAAGATTCTTTGGATTCTGACATAAGCCCTAACTTGGAAGGAAGGGTTGTTTTATGAAGCAGATGATATTTGTGGAAGGTGATTTGAATTGCAGATTTGCTGTGAATGTAAGCAAGTAGCCAGGCAGAGTTTGTTTGTGTTCACCTGTGCTGACCTATCTTGTGTTCACTACCCCTGAACAGCTCCCTCTTTCTGAGTAAACTGGATCAGTCCATCACATGAGCTTAACCTCTTGAGATTGTTACTGTTGTGCAATCCCGGGAAGGGAAAAGAACAGCAACACAAATACGTTATCATAAAGTTGAGAATATTTCCGAGCAACAGAACCCTGACCATACAACACCTAACTTCCCCTGACTCTGAAGACAGCATAATAGTTCCAAGTGTGAAATTGCCGTGTTGGTGTAAGTTTTGTTCCATAGCAATTGGAATTAACTTGTTAATGTTAATGCATTATAAGGCCATCATTTGATGTTACTGCGTCAGTGCATAAACTATCCTAGAAAGCTAAAATACTCAAAGCAATTTCCAGAAAGCCCTAACTTTTAACAACCTGGAGTGCTCTTTTAAACAATAAGTCGTTTTAGCACTTTGTTGTATAATGCTCTCTTATAGACTCATTACCTAAGGGGAAATACATTGCCTTGTGCTTTTGCTATAAAGTCTGTCAAAGTGACAACTGTCAAGATTCTCAAGTGAATGCCAAGAAAAACTTTGCACATAGAATTTGGGTTCCTCTCTCCTCATTCCTCATTTGGAAGTGATTTTCCTCATAGAAAAGCACTGATATTCCTTTTAGGAGCCAGAGAAGAGGCTTAGCATGGTGGTACACACCTGGAATACCAGCTACTCAGAGACAGACATCAGGAGGTTTACAGTCTAAGGCCAGGCCAGGAAAAAAATTAGTGAGACACCCATCTCAGCAAAAAGCTGGGTGTAGTGGTGTACACCTGTCACCCTCGCTATATGGGGGGCATATGTAGGAGAATCAAGGTCTGAGGTCAGCAGTCAAAAGAACAATGCAGGAGGTATCACAATACCTGACTTCAAACTATATTACAAAGCAATAATAATAAAAACAGCATGGTACTGGCACAAAAACAGACATGAAGACCAGTGGAACAGAATAGAGGATCCAGATATGAAGCCACATAACTATAAGCAACTTATCTTTGACAAAGGAGCTAAAAATATACGATGGAGAAATAGCAGCCTCTTCAACAAAAACTGCTGGGAAAACTGGTTAGCAGTCTGCAAAAAACTGAAACTAGATCCATGTATATCACCCTATACCAAGATTAACTCAAAATGGATCAAGGATCTTAATATCAGACCCCAAACTCTTAAGTTGATACAAGAAAGAGTAGGAAATACTCTGGAGTTAGTAGGTATAGGTAAGAACTTTCTCAATGAAACCCCAGCAGCACAGCAACTAAGAGATAGCATAGATAAATGGGACCTCATAAAACTAAAAAGCTTCTGTTCATCAAAAGAAATGGTCTCTAAACTGAAGAGAACACCCACAGAGTGGGAGAAAATATTTGCCAATTATACATCAGACAAAGGACTGATAACCAGAATATACAGGGAACTTAAAAAACTAAATTCTCCCAAAACTAATGAACCAATAAAGAAATGGGCATGTGAACTAAACAGAACTTTCTCAAAAGAAGAAATTCAAATGGCCAGAAAACACATGAAAAAATGCTCACCATCTCTAGCAATAAAGGAAATGCAAATTAAAACCACACTAAGATTCCACCTCACCCCTGTTAGAATAGCCATCATCAGCAACACCACCAACAACAGGTGTTGGCGAGGATGCGGGGAAAAAGGAACCCTCTTACACTGTTGGTGGGAATGTAGACTAGTACAACCACTCTGGAAAAAAATTTGGAGGCTACTTAAAAAGCTGGACATCGATCTACCATTTGATCCAGCAATACCACTCTTGGGGATATACCCAAAAGACTGTTACTCCAGAGGCACCTGCACATCCATGTTTATTGCGGCACTATTCACAATAGCCAAGTTATGGAAACAGCCAAGATGCCCCAGCACTGACGAATGGATTAAGAAAATGTGGTATCTATACACAATGGAATTTTATGCAGCCATGAAGAAGAACGAAATGTTATCATTCGCTGGTAAATGGATGGAATTGGAGAACATCATTCTGAGTGAGGTTAGCCTGGCCAAAAGACCAAAAATCGTATTTCTCCCTCATATGTGGACATTAGATCAAGGGCAAACACAACAAGGGGATTGGACTATGAGCACATGATAAAAGCGAGAGCACACAAGGGAGGGGTGAGGATAGGTAAGACACCTAAAAAACTAGCTAGCATTTGTTGCCCTTAATGCAGAGAAACTAAAGCAGATACCTTAAAGCAACTGAGGCCAATAGGAAAAGGGGACCAGGAACTAGAGAAAAGGTTAGATTAAAAAGAATTAACCTAGAAGGTAACACCCATGCACAGGAAATCAATGTGAGTCAATGCCCTGTATAGCTATCCTTATCTCAACCTGCAAAAACCCTTGTTCCTTCCTAGTATTGCTTATACTCTCTCTACAACAAAATTAGAGATAAGGGCAAAATAGTTTCTGCTGGGTATTGAGGGGGGGAGCGGGAGGGGGTGGAGTGGGTGGTAAGGGAGGGGGTGGGGGCAGGGGGGAGAAATAAACCAAGCCTTGTATGCACATATGAATAATAAAAGAAAACTGAAAAAAAAAAAAAAAAAAAAAGGTCTGAGGTCAGCCTGAGCAAAAGCATGAGACCCTACCTGAAAAATAACTAAAGTAAAAAAAGGGCTGGGGGGTGTGGCTCAAGTGGTAGAGTGACTGCTTAGCAATCACAAGACCCTGAGTTCAAACCCTAGTACCGAAAAGAGAGAGAGAGAGCCTGAAAGATGCTGGAGAGAAGGAGAAGGGTAGCTGCTTAACAGACATAGAGCGAGCAGAAGGGGTGATAGCACTGCCCTTCAGTGTTTTCTCTAATGGCCCCAGGAGAAAGTAGATTGTGAAAATTCCGGGGAAGATGGTAGAAACCCACCCAGTAGCACATGCAAGTAGAAATCAGCTTTAACTTCTGACTGACAGGACAAATGATTTCTTCTGGGTTACGAGGTGCTATGTGGTGGTATCTTTGCACTTTGTGTGTGCACAGATGAATTTCTGTATACATTTAAATGTGTACCAAGCAGAACCCCTTGGGCTTAGAACATACCAGGCTGGTATTTCTAAGATGGATCAGTCAACACCAGTTAGCCAGGTTCTCATCTGTCAAACCAACCTGAGTTTAAAGACTGAAGCTCAGGGTGCCTAGCTCCCATCAGAAGAAAAGGATAGACAAGACACAACAGGCTATCCCACACCATATGCTTTCAAGAATGTCTGGAATCTGTCCACTTCTGTCATCTCCCTGTCTATCACCCAAATCTTGACCCTTGCTGTGTAAAATGAGGTTTAGGTCAGAGATCAGCTAACTTTTTCTGTAAAGGGTCAGATTATAAATACTTGTGACTGCATGGGCCAAGTCTGTGTGGCAACTCAGATCTGCCATGATAGCAGGAAAGTAGCCATAGATGACATGGAAACAAATAGACCTGGCTTGTTCCAATAAAACTTTATTTACAAAGATAGCAGTAAGACAAGTTTGGCCTGGGCCATCATTTACTAATTTTTGGTCTAGAAACCAATAAAGTGAACACCACCGAGGAGCTTATTAGAAACCCAGAAGCTCAGATCCCACCCCAGATGTACAGAATTAAGGTCCTCATTTGCAACAAATCCCCAGATCATTCCTGTGCACAGTAAATTTGGGAGCTACTGGCCTCCAGGGTGAGGTCACCATTGTCCCTCCTCCGAGCTGCTCTGACACCCACCCTAGTTTGTCCTAAACATCTACCTTCACTTAACTTCTGCCACCCTCCAAACCATCCTCCACAAAGCGGCCAAAGGGATCTTCTTACATACAAAATGGGTCACATCAGCGCCTTTCAGGGGTCTCTTCATTAGGGTTGTCAGACTCAAGAAAAGCAAAACAAAAAATAAGATTCCCAGTTAAATTTCAGTTTTCAGTAATAGATAAATTTATAGTATAACTATATCCCATGCTTATTTACTAAAAGTATGTTCAATGTAATGTTTGGGGCATGCTTAAACTAAAAAATTATGTGTTGCTTACCTGAAATCCAAATGTAAGTGGGCAGTCTGTGTGTTTACCTGGCAACCTTACTCCCAGTACTCTATGAATATGATCCAGATTTCTTACTGCCACCACATTGTCATACATCACAACCCCTTTGTCCCAGCACTATAACTACACTAGCTACATCCTTCCTGCCAAGACCTTGGACAAGCCATGGCTCCTCCTTGAAACCTATTTTATTCCTATCCCTCCTAGGTCTCAGCCTAAAGGTGTCATCAAAAATGCATAC